GGAATACAGATCCAGGAACCACCTTTTTTCGCTAGCTGCAGAATGATCAGCTAGCTGAGATCTATCACAGTTTTGTTACACTTGCATGTCCACGTTAACTTATCCTCCCTCACAGACCTCCAACTTCAAGACTACTATAGGGAAACATATTAATTTTGACAGCAAAAATCACTTCCAAGGAATGGTAAGACCCTTGGTATGTTAGATCTTGATCAAGCAAAAAATTTCAACACTTGTTTAATCATAAGCACCTCATTAACTCCATGAAGTCACCAAGGGAAAGTGAATATAATGCACATGGTTTCTGATGCTTTCCATCAAGAAATGAAAAGGGCCTTTAAAACTAAAAAACTGAACATTGTCCTAGGGTGAAGCCACCTGCATGAATGCAGCTTGAGCTCAGAGCTCCTTCGACATCCCTCACCTATACGTATAAGCTGTACGCTTACCAGCCTCATAAAGCTATCTCCACCTGCTCCCACAGAAAGCCACACCACCAGTCCTGAAAAAGTGCACTTGCATTGTGCCCAGGTGCACACCATGGGAAATGGGAAGCGTCCCCACAGGCAACGCACTCCCTGGGAATGAGCCTTGAGAACCAGTCCCAGTGGCCTCCACCTAGAAGGAAGCTTTGGTACATGTCTTCTTTCTAATTAGATCAAAATATGTATTTCATTTTGCTCCAAAAGAGAAAGGTTTCCCCAACATTTCAAGATATTTTTTCTGTCACTGGTGATTCGACTTCAAAGGCATTTTGTCCCCCAAGCATACCCCTGTCCACCTGAAGCATATCGCCTCTGCCAGACAGAGAACAGTAACATACTTCAGTATGCATCTTGCATCTGCAGAGTGGAAGGAGGATGTAAGACAGCCATTATAACAAGATATTCCAGAGAGATCTTGCATTTAAAAGGAAGGGTACTTCAGGAATAAAAAGATTTTCCACCTGATGTTGCAGAGGGTTACAAAGTTAATAATGCTGTATATTAAAAGGTCACGTTAGAGTTGTGCCCTCAGATAAGGAGAAAAAGATAGCTAACAGTTGCATAGACTCGGGGTGGTACACACACAAAACATCCACACTGCCCCTTCACACACGATCTGCAACACTTCGGTGGGTAGTTCAAGAAATGGGTCAGGTGAGATGGAAAAGGTGCTGTTTGCACCAGATGGTTCACAAAGCCAGGCAATTTGTTCTCTGGAAGCATAACAGTGGTTGCAAGATCAAATAATAAAACCATGACGCTAGGAAAATTAACAGCTAGAGAGAAAGCTGGAGGAGTCTAACAACGGTCAAATCTTGTTGTAAGCGCCATCGCATCAGTCACCCATCCCCCTTCACCCAGTTCTGGTATCAGAATCTGGTATATTCTTCAAATGGGGAAAATAACACACCCAACATCTCTGTTGTCACCCATCCTCCCAGGCAAGGCTGATCCTACACAAAGCAGGATGGAAGAAAGAGGAGGCTCAGCCAAAGTGAAAAACAAAAGGCCTCCACCAGCCACGCAGCTAGGACCGATCCACAGTCCTGCTATGTGGCAAGCGAGAAGGAGGGAAAAAAAAAAAGAATGGGAGGCTCTGGGCTTTATTGTTTGTCTTTTTTCTGCTGGAAGCTATGGGAGGAGGGGACAACTTTTGGCAGGGGAAATAGCAGGACATTTGTCAAAAGACCTGAAACCGCTACTTTTCATTATGGGGCCAGGGAAAAGGATCCACCCCAGCAGTGATTTAGATTAATCACTTTTCATTAGGAGCCAATAAACAAACTCTGGTCAAAATGAACATTTCTGCCAGCACCCTGTGTGCCATTTATAATTGCCATAAGGAATAGCAAAGGAGGACCACAGAGTTGTCAAATGTAATTTATAGTGGTTTAAGATCTAATCATTTTCTATAATATTAAATTAAATGGGAGCCTTTATTAAAAAGGAAATTACATTTCACCTTGCTGTATTCTAGAATATATACACACATATATAAAATATTATATTCATTTGCTGCCTTCTCTGGTTTAAGTGGAGAGGGGAAAGGAAGGCAAGATTGACTAGTGCTAAGGATAAGCCTTTGAAAACATATGTGAGATGAGGTGGTTTATACTACATAGCTTTTCCTCTAGATGCTATAGCCTGACCTCCAAAATTCAGTGGACAATGAATGACAAGCACCAGACAAAACAAACCATGCTGAAACATCAGACTGAACTTCAGGTAGCTCCTCAGGAGATGAATGCGGAGGAAGAGAGCTGTCTGGTACGTGGTGTATCTCCTTTAAAGCAGGAGCTTTGGGCGCAATGATGACACATACAAAGCTGTTCTGAATGAACTCCAGCCCAGCAGAACACCAGACACCAGCAGGGGAGGCACACAGAAGGGAGATGATTCAGAGGAGCCACCTTACAAGAACAACATAACCTACAATATATGGACTGAGACCTTTGGCACGTGATCAGGAAACACAACCAGCTCTGAATACTTCAAGGGGATTTACCCCAGGAAACAAGAAGCACAGGCTGCAGGCGGAAAGAACGAGGAGGGAAGGTGTCATACCTACGTCGTACCTGCCATCATGTATTTGGTACACAAAACATAGAAGTAGCTAAGAGTCACTCATATTTGAGTTGGAGAGCATGTAGGACCCTTAAAGGAGCTCTGAACAAATGCAGAAGTGGAGAGGAAGGAAAGTGACCCCATATCACAGCACAAATCCACCAAAACAGCAAGCCCTCTGGTGGGGCTAATGTAATAAAAACTAAGGCAGAATTTGTAACTAAGAATCTGAGTTCCTGCTACCCTGGTTAAAATTCCAGGTGTGTTAATGCAAACGCCTTCCTCAGAACTGGTTTCACATAGGCTATGTGCAGGTGGATGAGTCAAGATGGTGACACACTCCTCTTCCTCTGTTCCAAGCTAGCCAGGCACAGAGACAACTGTGATCTGTAATATTGAACCACACCAGTAATGAGCTAAAACTTCTCACGGGCACAACGCTACAACCTGCCCAGACTCTCTTGGCTTGGAGCTACAGGTAGCCTGAGCTCAGATCTGCCTGAATCTGTCCACTGCAGCGATGCCAAAGGCTCCCCTGTAGCTCGGCGCTCAGTTCTTCTCTCAGAACCTTTCACCGCTCTGCCCTCACGTTGGCGGGTTTGCTCGGCACATCGCTGCTGTCCTTCCTCTTCTGCACCCAAGGCAGAAGAACACGCACCACCATCACCCTCCCCCGTCATATTACCTGTATCCTTAGCATCATATTCAAAAGCTTTATCACCCAAAAGCTTTATCACCGCGCTTGTCCCTGGTTCTGTGTCATCCCAACACAACAGAGATCTGTTTTGTACACAGCTGAATCTTTTCATAAACTACTTCTGGACAGAAAACGAGCAACGTGCCACATAAAAGGCATTTTTATTAATATGATTTTTCACCGAATCCTTTTATTTTTCTCAGCCAACATAAATTTTCACTGTAAATTACCAAAGCGTATCTCTCTCAATCAGCACGGAGAAGTTTTATAGGTACCATATCTGTAGCAGTAGTACCACTGAGCAACATTAGCAGGAAGCATCCCAGTAAGTGAATAAAAAAGACAGGTTCAAAATAAATGTCTTTTGTTCACAGAAATAAGTAGATAGCATTAAACCATTGTGTACTGCCTTCTGATTCTCCTCCTCATTTTAATGCGCTTTTCATAAGCAGTTGTTTTCAGATGTCCCAGTCACATTCTCATTTGCCTATACAAAGTGTATTCTAAAAAGAAATAAACAAAACAGTTTAAAAAAAAAAAAATCCACCTACAAACCACCCAAGACTCCATAGCTACAAAAGAAACTCAGCTCCTTAGCAAAGTATTAGCAATTTGCTCTGCAGCACTGCATTGTCCTCTTCTGCAATTGAAACGGTAGTTCTGCCACAAACACTACTGCAAAAACAGAAACTTAATGCTTCATGTTTACAGCTTCATAGCAATTTCCATATTGAATGTCCTCAGCTTACACATGAAAAGGCTTTTTTTTTTTTTTCCTTCTCCCACTAGACCCTCAACTCAGAAGCACTTCAGGTCCTTCCCAAAAAAATTTCAGGCCCTTCCTAAAACCATCTAAATCAACAACAGAAAAACACAAACCTGATTAAAAAAAAAAAAAAAAAAAAG